GGTTTGGACACGCTGTAACTCTTGTTCATAAAACGTCCCCTCTAATTCTTCTCCATCAAATTCTTTTAACTTGTAAACGGGAGGGTTCCTTGGAATTCTCTTTGAAATGGTAAAAATTTCCTCGCTCCAGTTGGGAAGATAGCKCTTGTCGAACAGTTTTTTGGCTTTGGAAATGCGAACTTGATCGTCAATGTCAAAAGCATATCCTCTCTTGGGAGGCTGTTTTCCATAAAGTGTTAACCACACTTGGTCTTCGTTTTTAGAATTTACAGAATCTGGCGTTCTTTTAATACTTCGATGATAGGAATTGTTGTAGGAGTCCACAAAGTCTTGTAAAACATCAATGTATTTCCATGTTCCTTTCAGAGTAWAATAGCGGTACATTCTCTMCTTTAAGGTTCTGTTAAACCTCTCTACTATGCTGGCTTTGGTGTCATTGAACGTGTGATAGAATCCGATACCTTTCTCTTTTAAAAAAGATTGGAATTTTCTGTTGATAAACTCACTACCGCGATCTGTGTGAATTTTTTTCGGTTGACGGTCTGATTGTTTTAAAATGTTTTGGAACGCTTTCAACAGAGAGTCGGCCGTCTTATCCTTTAAGGCAAGCACCCATGCATGCTTGGAGAGGACATKAATGCAAGTGACTAGATATCTGTAGTTTTTGTTATACTTTTTAAGGGATTGAAGGTCGATTAAATCAAGTTCCCATAGTGAATCAATGGATTTGGCATAGACTCGATTCCTCCTAAAATGTCTTGTTACTGGCCTGTGCAGGCTGTAGACTCTCTGGGTTCTTAYCCATTCCTTGACCTCTCTTTTACTGATTTTCTTGTTTTCCCTTTTGGCAGCATGGTACAAAGCATCCAAACTTGCTAGACTTCCTCCCTGTTTGATGGCGTAATACAACTTGTCTAGGAGCTTCTCGTTCTCCATCAATTTGAGAGTTTTCAATGACAACTTTTCRTCCACAGCAAGCTAAAACACATCGAACTTTACGGAAAATATCYCGAAGAGCTAAGTTGGGTGTAGAGCTGAGACACCCACAACCCATGTCTTTATCGCGCAGACAGAAGCAATGAAATGACAACGCAAATCACAATCAATCACATTTATTCAATTTTTGAATGCGCACACAAAGTCATTGAATATTACTGAAGATAGTTCACGATTGTTATCTCTAGCATCACACATTTCTTTAACAACATTTACATAAGGTAACTGATCTCTTGATGGATATGACATATCATCTGCTATCGTTGCTGCGACAGTCCAGCCCATTCGTTTGAATTGGCTCACATAGACATCCCTTCCTGATAACAGGATTTCATCCAGTCTTTTCAGTTCAACACCCACTTCTTGTATCATCTTCAGATCTACTAAGTTTTTTGCTTCCTCAAAGTATGTATTCCATAGATCATCATGCTTATAAAAGCAAGATTTGTTGGGATCCTTGTCGAAAAGTGTCAACATTTTTCTATAGCAGAGTTCCACAAAGAAGTATTCGAGAAGTTGACGCATCTTGGCTTGCATAACCACTTCCACCTCATCACTGACAATCATAACTACAGCATTTTCGACACATGAGATACTTTGAACTCTCGAAGAACTCATCCTGATAACCCCCGTCCAGTTGATCGTGATAGTACCAAAGTGGACAACGGTAAGAGTCTCGAATCCAACAATAGATGAGAGGAATAATTGTAAGCAGCATTACGAGCACCAACCACATCTGACCGAAATGACCGTAGCGTTAAGATTTAAATAACCATCATAAACAACTTTTACAAACACACAACCCGCACCTTTGCGATTAATATCTAACTCTTCTGATTTTCCCAACTCTCTCTTTTTAAGACCTACNCAATCGAGAATCGCATTTATGAGTGACAATCCAGCCGCCAACGACTCTACGTGGGGGCGCCTTCTAGAAGGGGCAGTCGCATTGGTAACCGATCCCCGTGACCGAAGTGAGGACGTTGACGATGGACGACAACGATGATGCTTGGGCTTGTGGCATTGATACTGATCCCTTTGCGATTCGATCCATTCTGCTCTTCTCTTTCTCACGAACGGATTTTTTTTCGGCCTCTTGAAGCAGTTCATATATTTTCTATTAACAATAAACGTTCTTGTTTCTTACTYTTTTTTTTGATTTTTCCGACTCTCTCGGAAGTCACTCCGCTGCGCTTCGTGGCTTCCTACCCCTCCCTCTTCATCGTGATTTGATTAGTGACRTCACTTCTCCTAGTCTGCGTTACCTGTGGCGTGACTAATGACGTCAGGTTCTTTTCAGTAACCGTGACCGTGGCGTGACATGTGACGTCACTCCATTGTTCTCCGGAGTTTCGACCAATCAGCGTCCAGAAATTCGCTTCCTCCCGTTCCTCCCTGGCGCAGAACGCTCATTTTATATCTACTAATCCAAAACAGCTGTCGAGGGCAGCTCCTTTATCTGATATAGCGTCTGCATATATTTCTAACGATTGAGGATCTAAAATGTCATGATTCCATTGTGATATCTTGTGGCCATGAGTGTCGTAGATGAAGTTCAAAACCTCGTTTGTTATCATACTCAGCTCTGCAACAGGTCTACCAAATCGTGGTATCATATCACTGAATCTAAAAGGATATGACATTCGTCTCAAAAGAATACAAAGTCCTTCCGTCTTGTCAGCAGTTGTTCTCTGGTAGCAGTGAAATCTATCTGGGAGTTGAAGAGCTTCAGCAAGAATTGGCAAAGTCTTTCCTTTCGATTCTAAACTCTGCTTTGCACTCGGTCTCTTCAATGTTATCAATCGTAAATCTTAGGTAATTTTTGTACGGAAATTGAGGGTTTTTTGATGTGTTTTCTTCCAATAACAGCAATTATTCCTCATCAGATATGAGCCCAATTCCATTAGCAATCAGTAGTGCATCTCTAAAATCTTTTAAGTAAGGCATTCTTTTCAATAAAACGTGTAAAAAGCTAAAAAAAGTTCATTTCTAATTACGGCATCAACTTGTAAACAAAAAACTTAGCAGGCGTTCCACGTCAGTGCTGCGCGCACGCGTCTGCTTAATGCTCTGAGCTCCCGCCAAAAACGGTGTTCTTGATCCAGTTCTCCTCGGGAAATTGGCGTTCGTGTTGACAAAAACGTCTGTTTTTTAAGGTCTCTAATATCAGGTTAGCACACAGGGCAGTCAATAAGATCAGTGTCAACTTCCCTAAACCAAAAGAAAGGAAAGACCCTACCCTCAATACTGGGGTAGTGTATAAAATCGGATGTAAAGAGTGCCAGATAGATCCTTGAAGACCAGAGTAAAAGAACACCACCGGGCAGCATGTCAGAATGCAACCTTCTCTAAAATTGCTGAACATTTTAAAACTTCCGGTCACTCTATGGACTTTGACAATGCTAGAATCGTCCAGTCGGAGCTAAACTACCATAAAAGACTCTTTTTAGAAGCTTGGTTTTCTCAGCTCGACTGCAACTCTGGAAATTTTAGAACTGTGATACCCGTATCTTACGGAACAATCATAAATTCTTTTAAAACTTGCGCGCGGTAATTAAAAAAAAATCAACCCGTTAACATACGCGTGCAAACTTAGCTCTGAGGAAGGTCAGAGTTCTGACCGAAACGTCTGCGTTTTTTAACTCGAATATTGCGAAGCAATCGAAGAGTTATTGGAGGGGGACGAGTCTGTCACTCAATCAATCACTCACTCAGTCACTCAGTCACTCACTTTCCTGTAAACTTTAGCCTGCGTTACTTCAGGACTATTAAGAACTATTAATTTATTCTCATTGTTTTCTAGATCAGAGTCACATGAACCATGAAATAAAAACTAAAAAGTACTAACTAATAGGCACTATTAGTTTCTAATAGTCATTAGCACTGAACCAGAACACTATATTTGATCCAATAAGTAATGCCCAAGAGAACACTATAACAATCAAAGTAATCTCTTTGTACTGTTCTGGTTCAGTGATAGTGTCTAAATAGTGCCTATTAGTTACTAAATATTTAGTTTCTATTTCATGGTTCAAGTGACTCTGCTATAGTAGTTTCCCTATTCCACATTTGATTAAAATATTTATTAAAATACTTATTTATTGGAAAAGATAGAAATCCAAAGAAATGTCATCTTCTATGAGTCTCGAACCTCAGAACTCTGATTTAGAAATCGAAAGCACTGGCCAAAGAAAGCACGCGTACCAATGTTACATAAGTGCGGTTAGACTTGTCTTTTAAGTGCAGGTGCTCGCTCCTAGTTGTCAAGAATCAAATTTAAAAACTAGACGCATAACTGCGTAAACTCGGGGTTCTTGTTGATAAAATAATGTTTATTGTAACTTCTGCATCATTGTATACACCATAAACAGTCATACAAATAGTTTTATCTAACATATCACAATCACTAAACGATGAAGTGACATATTTTGAGTGTAGTTATCGAAGAATTGGACTGTATTGGACCCTAATAAAGTTAATATCAATACTATCAAAAGGGTAAAGCAAAAAATATTTCCTTGAATGAAAAATAATAACAGAAGCAATGTGCTTAGCATTAAGGAAGAATTGATAGTCTTTGTCAAGCTCTCTTTAATAATAATAATAATAAATAATAAATCTTTATTTATCCACGGTTAATCATCAGCTAACATACAATACGTAATTAAAAACACGTATACAATGTAACGAAAAACAAATATCAACTAAAAAAGCTGTTTTCCATGAATGCCGTGCCTTAAATTGTTTGTAATAATAGATGTTTAAATTGCCTAAGGGACTCTGCCTGCCTTAGTTTACTTGGAAGGCTGTTCCATGCAATAGCTCCACTATAACTGAAGCTATTTTTACCATAGTTAGTACGTGGTAATGGAACATTGACTTTGTCGACAGAGTCCCTTAGTGCATATGAAGAAATGTGGTTACTAAATTTATTACAAAGATAATTAGGAGCAAGCCCATGTCGACACTTAAAAACCATTGTTGCACGTGCCATTTGTTGCTGGCAATCTAGGGTTTTCCAGCCCAGAATTYTAAAAAGATTGTCAGCGCTGGCATCGTAGCTTGAATGGGTCAAGACACGAGCTGCTCTATTTTGTAGTTTCTGCAATTTATTATGCAGAGTAGTACCACAATTGCCCCAAACGACATTACAATAGTCAAAGTGCGGCTGGACTAGGGCGTGATAAATTTTTTGCAAAGTTAGTTGAGGAACAAGGTGTCTTACTCGCTTAATGGCCCCAATTCCTGAAGCAATTTTCTTGGTTAGTTTATCAATATGGACACTCCAAGTTTCACTTTGATAGTCAAGACATGGCAGTCTATAAAGACAGAGTCTTTTATCCTCTCTGCTAAATAAAATAGTTGCAATCGTCGGTTTTTCCTCAGTAGAATTCTGTTCGCATTCCTTAGAGAAGTCCTTAGTAGTTTCAGAGCCTGAAGCATCAGTTAGTATAGAGTTCGTTTTTGATAAGATTGGTAGCTTGTTTGATAGATAGTTCACGATAAATTTCACGATAAGTTTATAAATTCGCGGTATATCTCAAACTGCCCTTTCGAAAAACGCTCGACATCTTTTAGTGTGGCTATACCGCGAATGGTGTGTGGATTTGTAAGAGATTTTAGCGTGTTTGAAGTTGAATCCATGTCTTCCATCTCGTACAAAGACGACACCTCGACGACACCATGTGAAGAACATGGAAGTTGTGAATGTCACGTGATTCGTACCCAGTGCATTCTASTTTGGCCGAGACAATTTGTGTACCAAATGCGACGACTACCATGACAAAGAAGGCCGAAACCTAAACTCGCGGTTCCTGTGGAACCCCGAGTAATAATTAGATTTTAACTTAAAAGAAAACTGTATTCACAAACCGTTCACTTAAAGTTCTATAAGTAAAGTGATTGTAATTTGATTCGTGCTGTTCAGTCACAAAGGTCGAAGCAAGCAAAGAAGACTGCTCGAAAGTGGATATATGGGTTCAGCAATTTTGGTTTAAAATAAAAGTTTAGACTGTCATGAATTATGTTTGGTGGGTTAAACTCGAAAAAAATTTAGTGTCATTTTTTAAGGCCTAAAAGTGCTAAAAATAGCCGTTTTGGGTCTCCTGTGACAAATTTTGGAGCGATGCAGAAGTCTGGTAACTAACATTTCATGACGTCATTCACCGAACTCGTCACCCAGAACAATATTGTTTCCAGTCATTTTCCAGTAAAAAAACTATCAAAATTTTATTTAATTCCTTACTTAAGAATACGATTCCTCTTCTAAAATGCCAGATAGCATGCAGTTGTCAAAAGTTGTGGTAACATAAACAGTCGTGAAAACGCTATATTTCCTAGCACAAAATTCAGTATTACGGCGACCAGCGACAAGAGGCAATTCGACGCCGAAAGAGGCGAGACATACAACTTAGCGCTCGTTAGCGAACTTTGCAAAAACGCGAATTCTTTCCATAAAAACTTGAATGAAGCCTTTTATAATAATACAGTTTGTCCGTCCATATTCATACACTTTGCCTAATAATGCAGGATATGATCGCGTAGCTACTCAATTTTTGGGCGAAGTTTGCCCGTCCGAATACGAAACCCTTTTATACAGAGAAAGTTCGAGTAACTGCTTTTCTCAACATTCGCCAAGTTTGACTGTCCGCATATGAAACCTTTTTATACTTTAATAACAATAGTCACGCTAAACAAGAAAGCCAACCTCTTTTAGCTTGAATGGAAAGTGGCTAATGTAACACCCATCTTTAAGAAGGGATCCAAGCACTGCAGAGAAAACTATCGCCCAATCTCCCTCACCAGCATTGTATGTAAAATTGGTGAAAAAATTGTCCGTAACAGGATTTTAAAGTTCTGACATGACATCAACCTGTTCAGCGAAAACCAATTTGGATTTCTTGAAGGCAGATCGACTGTCRCACAACTCTTRAGTACGTTTCATGACTGGGCTAAAGCCAGGGACCGCCGCGTCCAAACTGATATTCTGTTTCTAGATCTAGCTAAAGCCTTCGACAGCGTCGCCCACGAAAGACTGCTTTTAAAACTGTATGCAAACGRAATTGATGGTCACCTCTTGGATTGGTTTAGACATTTTATCACCGGTCGCAAACAACGAGTCAATATCCGCGGCACCTTTTCAGAGTGGTCTCCTGTCACGTCTGGGACGCCCCAAGGCACAATCCTTGGCCCAATTTTGTTTTTAGTTTATATTAACGATATTTCCGATAATATCACATCTGTCATTAAACTCTACGCCGATGACACCAAGATGTACAGAAGTATTATTCAGCCGGAGGTCGATGTACCAGCACTGCAGTCGGACTTAAACCGCGTAAATCTCTGGGCCAAAAAATGGCAACTTAGATTCAATGCAGATAAATGTGAAAGTATGAGAATTACCCACAATAAAGATAAGTCGTCAACTAAATATACACTCGGATCCACTCAACTCAAAGACACTGCAAGCTTTAAAGACCTGGGTATTACTGTTTGCCGGGACCTTTCTTGGGGAACGCATATCACAATTACAGTCGGTAAAGCCAACAGAGTCCTAGGCGTTATCAAACGCTCCGTTGGTACGGCCAACAAGGATATTTTTTCTATGCTATACATCTCTCTGGTACGACCAATTCTTGAATATGCGGCACCGGTCTGGAACCCATACCTCGCAAAAGACATTCACGCCCTGGAGAAAGTCCAGCGTAGAGCGTCTAGACTTGCTCTTCGACAGAAAAGGGGGGACATGTCATATGAAGACAGATGCAAATTACTAGGCTGGCCAAGTCTCTCAACAAGAAGAAATTACTTATCCCTAGTAGAATGTTACAAAATTGTTTTTAACTTAAGTCACCTCAAATTTGAGGACTTCTTTGAATATACCAAATGTAAAATTACAAGATCTAATCATCCATATAAATTATACCTTAAAGCAGCCAAAGTAAATCCGTTCAAATACTCTTTTTTCATTAATATTGTCAAATTATGGAATAACCTCCCTAATTACGTAGTCCAAGCAGGCAGTCTCACTCTCTTTAAATCCAAATTATCAAATCATCTCGGCCTCATATAGTCTTCTTTTTTTGACCATCTTATTCTTCTCTTATCTTTAAACGTATATATATTTAGCTTTCTTGTTTATATGTCTGTCGTTTTTCAGGGGAGTTTTCACATAGGGCTAACCTCTTAACTTCCTTTCTAGATGCCTATTTTGTTATATTTTTCGTTTTGAATCTCGCTTTGTACTGCTTTTATATTTGTATTTGTATAGTGCTGATTTGCAACTGGAATAAATCTKTATTGTATTGTATTGTATTGTATTGTATTGTATTGTATTGTATTGTATTGTATTGTATTGTATTGTATTGTATTGTATTGTATTGTATTGTATTGTATTGTATTGTATTGTATTGTATTGTATTGTATTGTATTGTATTGTATTGATTTTTATGCACGAGTTGGTCATCAAGTCACAGATATAGACTCCGAGTAGAGCGTTTTCGACGGAAAATTTCTAAGTGCCACGGCAAAGGTGTTTTGTATACTATGCCCAGCAAAGACCAGCAAGTAGGACTGCTTAAAAGAAGCGCTTAGTATTTCTAAACAAACTTTCCCTTGTGTGGTTTCAAYRCAAACAGTCATTTGRCCGTGATTWGAARAAATTTCTGAAATTTTGGACTGCCGTGCACCGAGTTTTTTTTAAGACCGTGACCGGCTGCCGGGCATCTTACACACTGTGTTTAAAATACTCAGAGAAAGTTGGTGTAACTACATTTCTCGACAACATTAACGAAATTTGCCCGTCCGCATATAAAACCTTTTTTATATTAATACTCAGCTAGCCACTCTTCATCTGTAATCTGTTGGTCGCTGTACTTTAAAGAGTTCATGTTGCAATATGCTTCAGGATGCTTCGAAGTGCTCTTCGATAAAGTGGTCATTTTTCGCATTGATCGGTTTCAGATTCAACTTCATAATTACTCAGAAACGTAACAAGAGTCACTACATTCACTGCTGCAATCAGACATGTCTTTTTTCAAGAAAAATCAATCGTTTTAAAGATCAGTTCGTTGAAGTTTAGTGTTGTTTACCGTAAGTTGTTCCGTGAATGACGTCACTGGACGGACTAGTACCAGCCCTCCATAACGCTCGACTTTTATCAGCTCATTCCGCAGTTTGAAAGCTTAAAAATATACGAAATTTATATTGTATCGTAAAATTTCCTTTGATTATGTGACTTTTAATGTCCAAACTTTCATTTGAAAGAAAAATTGCTGAACCCATATATGCACTTTAAAATGAAACAATGAAGTCTCTGACGTAGAATTTTCCAGCTCTACGCATAAATCTCGCAAACAAAGGGACTGTAGTCTTTCTTGCACTCCTTTCATTGACGTTGAAAACACTTCTGAATTAATTTTAAAACTCGTGGCTTTACTTATGAAACACATCTGCAACACATTTGTTTTCTATAGAGACACGTATAAAAGATTTCTTTGACAGTTTCTTTGTTATCTAGGTTGATTAAAAGTTTCTTTGTTATCTAGGTTGATTAAAAAATGACCACACTTATGATTTAGCAAAAAATGTACCAAAACACAAATTCTCTCTCCAACAGACTCAGATATTGTCCCTTTTTTGATAAGCCGCCGGGCTACTATTTGACTGTTTCATGGTGCATGTGAACTCTTGTTTTTTTAAACAATATATTCTTTTTTGACATTCTTTCGTCTATTGGCCTTTTTAACCATTGATACGTTTAAGCTTACAAACTTATTATTTGGATGTTTGTTGAAGTTTATATTGTTTATATCGTAGATTGCGGTTGAGCCGAAGTTGTGTTTACTTAATTATCGATATCGCATTAAACCGACACGAGCACAATAGATCAACCATAGTTTTGGCTAGGCTGGGATTTATCTCGCCGGCGCTGCGCTCATCCATGTTTATCCAGAACCGAAGTTAAATTAATAAAATTTTAACGAAAAAAAACTATACTAAGAGACGGTCCATTTTACTTTTGAGAGGGGGGGGGGGTTCAAAATCATCCATCCCCACCCCTCCCCTCAAAAGTTAAATGGACCGTCCCTAATAAATCGTTTACTAAGTAATTATAATTCGTTTATTAAGTAATTATATTTCGATTCATCGTATCGTTCTGTATTCGTCTACACAATCAATCTTTGAGTTGTGTTGCCATTGGCTGCTTGATTTCATTCAAATCTTAGAATCTTAGGCTAGTGACAAACATTTTTATTCAGTTTTTATTATGACTATTCCTACTGGGTGATTGATTTGCGACCAGGCCTGCATATGAATTCGCCAAGGTTGTAAGCCAGTGAGCCCGTGC